GAAAGACTGGAATTACACAAAGTAGCTTTCAAATCACAGTGGAAAGAAACTAAAAATTAGTATCAAAAGAAAAACTGAAAAACTCACAAATTTGTGAAAATTAAACAACATACTCTTAAACAACCAATGGGTCAAAGAAGAAATTACAAGGAGATGGAGGCCGGTGGATCCCGTACTGTGGAGGGCGAGGTGACCTTGGCACCGCTGAAACCACGGGCCGCGAGTTTGGGCACCTGATGCGGATGTGGCATGTGATCACCTATAGCTTGTCGCCCTTCGAGCAGCGCACCGTCCCGAACTACTTCAGCAAGGGCATCCCCAATGTGCTATGCCGCACTCGGGTGTGCATCCTTCACGTCACACAGCCATTTGTAGCATTTTATCTTGTCTACACGTGGGGAATCCAAGAGTTTGAGAGATCCAAAAGGAAGAATCCAGCTACCTATGAAAATGACAAATGAGCAGCTCATCTGGACAATGGTTCCTTGTCTCTGAAAGACCCTTCTCTGGGAGAGGAGTCTACATTGTAGGGTCCTGAAGACACAATAAACTTACTGTGAGCTGCAAACAAACAAATAAACAAATTACAAGAGAAATTAGAAAATATCTTCAAATAAAAACAAAACACAGTATGCTAAAACTTATGAGAAGTAGTCAAAGCAGTGCAATAAAGGGATAATTTACAGCTGTAAACTCTTACCTTTAAAAATAAGAAAGATTTCAACAACTGAACTTTACACCATAAAGAATTAGAAAAAGAAGAACAACCTAAACCCAAAACTAACAAAGAGGAGGAAGTAATATAGATTAGGGAAGGTTGCCTCAAAATTACAGTGCAGGAACTCACTATCATTTCCCTTTCAATGAGAAACTCAACAATATGTACTCAGTCTTTAAGTATTTCTCCAGGCAATGAGATACAATTATAGACAAACTAACCTGAAACAGAAACAGTTTCCTTTTCTGGTTGAGCCTGGAACTGAGGTTGGAACCAGGCACAATCTTTTTGAGTTCAGTTACCAGGACTGAAAGCTCAATGGAGAACAGGCCTCTCTCATTTACTCTGTTATTTTCAGAGTGTGGCTTTAAACTATGTCTTTGGAGGTCTCTCCAGCTTGCTTCAGGCTCTGGGTACCATCCTGCATCTTTACATACCAGGTGGACCACTCTGGCATCACTGTTCTTGATGAGAACACGTGTGGAACTTCAAATTTCTGTAAAATGAGAAGGGAACAAGCGCTTCAATTAAGAAATCAACAAATGGTTGATTCTAGTTTGAGTATTTTGAATATGATGAACCAAATGGAAGGATAGTCCATCTCCTGCATAACTTAGGTAGAAAACAATGAAAGTTTCATCAAAATAAGTGGTTATCCTAGGGAATCAAAGTAGCAGAAAAAGGCAAGAACAAGAAATTTTTAAGAACTGAGATAACTGAAAATATTGAAGAAAGGAAGATAATAATGAGAAGCTGAGTCTAAGAATTTATAGTAATTATAATTCATATCAAGTGGATGCTATATTTCCCTACCATTAAGGAGATCTAACATATTGATGAACAGATGAACATTATACATAGAACTATTAATTTCCCTCCAAAATTTGTTTCATCAACTGTTATCCCAGACTCAGTGAATGTCAATTCCATCACTCCAGTTAGATTGGGCTAAAAATCATTAAGCAACTAGAAGCCTTCTGTTTCTCTCATGTTCATTTCAGGAAATTCTATTTACTCAGTACTCAAAATCTGAAGAGTACATGTGCATACTATTCTCAATGTCCAAGTGGTGTACAAACAGCCTGGGAACAATACAGTTAAAACCCTTGGTATTTGTTGGAATCAGTATAACTAGAAAGAGTTATCACTTAATATTTCCAGAAAACATCTCCACATTACCATATTTCAAGCTTCCTTTCCATTAGCTAGAGCTTAGAAAACATTTGTGGATTCTGAATCCATGTTTGAACAACTCTGAGAATTCAGCTGCACTGTAGTGACTCTAATAATTATAATGAACACTAAACTTTGAGAATTATATGTCTAAATGATAATCTCAATTTCATAATAACTAGAAAACAAAATTACTATATATTATGATTAATTTGGTTCTTGTGTATGAACTAGAAATTTTATCATGGATCCCATGATACCTGGCTTAATTTTCCATGGAAATCCAACTTATGTGTCAAACGTCATGTGACATCATTCAGATTTTGAATTTAAAACCTAAGAGGATTCAGCATTAGAAAGAATATTTGGACTCCTGGGCTTGTACCCAGAAGGAAATCTACTTCAGGATGACACCTGCACCCCAATGTTCATAGCAGCACTATTTACAATAGCCAAAACATGGAAACAACCTAAATGTCCATCAACAGGTGACTGGATAAAGAAGATGTGGTATATTTATACAACGGAATACTACTCATCCATAAAAACCGACAACATAAATGCCCATTTGCAGCAAACATGGATGCTCCTAGAGAATGTCATTCTAAGTGAAGTAAGCCAGAAAGAGAAAGAAAAATACCATATGAGATCGCTCATATGTGGAATCTAAAAAACAAAAACAAACAAACAAACAAAAACAAAGCATAAATACAGGACAGAAATAGGCTCATGGACAGAGAATACAGACTTGTGGTTACCGGGGCGGGGGGGGGGGGTAGAGGGTGGGAAGGGATAGACTGGGATTTCAAAATTGTAGAATAGATAAACAAGATTACACTGTATAGCACAGGGAAATATACACAAAATGTTATGATAAATCACAGAGAAAAAAATGTGACAATGAGTGTGTATATGTCCATGAATGACTGAAAAATTGTGCTGAACACTGGAATTTGACACAACACTGTAAAATGATTATGAATCAATAAAAAATGTAAAAAAAAAAGAAAAGAAAAAGATCTTCTCCCCCAAATCATAAATGTTTGCTTTCTGAGAATTTAAACTGCAATATGTATCACTTGGTGAAACTCTCTATACATACCTGAAAATTTGGAAACAGATTTTCTTAACCTGTTTAAAAAATCTTCCATGTGAAGAGTTCCAATGGTTTTGAACCTGCTTATGAAAAATATGAAAAGTAACTTGATTCATTTTGCAGAATTTTATTGATTGAAATCATGGAAGATCAAAATTTACCCTTCAATTTTTAACAAAAATGTTCGCCTAATTAGTAGATTGAATGGACTTACTTTAACAAAGTTAATGATGTACTTTTTTGCAGTGAAATCTAAATATTTTTATGTGGTATATTTTTCAGCTAAAAAAACTATTAAATCCAAGTGTTTGAATAAAATGGACTTAAGACCTGTCAAATTGCTATATTACAAAGTATTAAAACAATATTTTCAAGAATAATAAAATATTTACATTGTTCTTTCTAAGAATATTCATCTCACTAAAGTAATTATTATTAGTGAGAGCAAAATGTTTTACATGCTCAATAAATAAAATAGCTGTTCACAAAAAAAAAAAGAAAGAATATTTGGGACAAAGCAAATTATTCAATTAGTATGAATCATCTATATCTGTATATAGTATACATATTTACAGTGAGATTATAAACATTTTAGAGAAATGCATTTAAATTTTTTATTCTATATAAATACTTTAAAAATAATATGAGGTCAACACATATCCAAAAAAATTAACCCAAATGTAGAAGAACAAGTTGTCAATTAGGTCATTTATATTGTTATTTAAATTTTTCTTGCCAGTCTTTATCCTCAAGCCTTAATAGTAAAATTACATTGTTACCATAATTTTTGAGAGCTTTGATATTTGTTTTTCAAGGCATCCAGCCCAGTATCTTAATCATGGCAATGACAGCGTATGAACTTATCCGGACATTTCTCTACAGACTCTGTCACTTGAATCAGATGCCAAACAAATCCTCTCATGACCCCACTCCCTGGGATACGGCTGCCAACAGAACAACTGCCACCATACTCAGGCCAGCAGCAACAGGTCTGATCCATGGAGCTTTCTGGCCAGTTAAGGAGGGAGGAACCATGAACACAAAGAAGTCATCATACATATAAGTTAACTTGTCATTATTAGTGGGTGATTTAGTCTTTACACAGTTGCTGCTATCTTGTCATAGAACCCACCTCATTTCTCCCAATCTCAACTGATGCTCACTGACCCTTACATTGTCTTCTCTAAGCATCCAGGCCAAACTTTCCTCCAACAACCACCCTTTCAGCTATAGGCAATCCTAGGCCATGTTCTCTGCCCCTACAGAACATATGTGAACTAACACTTAATACACCGAAGAGCTGCAGCTACCTAAATCTCCATTTTCCCATGCACAGAATAAAGAAATTTTTTTATTCAACTCATTCAGCAGATGTTTCTGTGACAGACATTGTTCTAAGCTTTCGGGACATTTCCAGGAAGAGTAATGAGGAGAGAGTGGCTGGAGCACTGGAGCAAACCCAGGGTAGTGATATTCCTGTTACTTTTCCTTCAAATAAAACAAATCACTGTTAGTGTTTCTTCAGATACAGCTGTGACACAACTGCAGTGCACTCTGGGCGTAATGTTAAATTTTAGGATTTTCTTAAAGGTATGTAATCTTATAAAAATGCATCAACATGTAAACTAAGTGGAAAATTTTAAAGCAAACTATATATGAACTACAAATAAAAATTTTAATTACAAAATAAAACCACTGAGTAAACACGATTGTGTGTAATATATTGCATCATCTTAGGTTCCATTGCAAAATGGAAATATGGGGACCCTTGTTCAAAAATCAAAAAAGGACTACTAAAGATACTAAAATAAAAAAATTTTACCTTTAAAATATTTTATTACTTATAAAATAGAGGTAATAGTGATATTTAAGAACATACATTTTTAAACTGCAAAAATACTATTTTGTTGTCATAATTTGTATAAAATAACAAGTAATATACTAGATTATTGTGATATATTGATTGATTATAGATTATTTTTGGCTTGCCTTTCTGTAAACTCATTATGTCATCCCAATTTATATTTTTAGCAACTTTATTTTCATACTGATGTAACTGAAAGCAGTATGAGTTACTCTTGGCAAATGCAAGATTGTAACTAATTTTTGATAATTTTTAATTTTGAGAAGAATCCTTCTGCCGATGCAACTATTACTGGAGCTGTGAGGAGTACTTTATAGGCTGTAACAATTCTGGAACATATTTCTGATAAGCTATTTTGAAGTATAAATGATACTACATGTAAAGTTGATGAGTCTGACATAATATTTTTTTCTGGAAAGATTTAACTTTCCATACAAGTGAATTTCCTCTTTGAATTTAATTTTAAAGATTATGCAATGGCAATTTAATGTTTCCCATAACATTTTCTGTAACTTGCAGAGGTCATGCAAGAAACCAAAACTACCTTCATGATATAGTGCAAAATGCCTGTTTATGCATTGTTGCACTGTACACTCAATTACAAGGAAAAATTAATTTTCAAATTATGTTGTTAGTAATTGGTTTATGTAAAGCTTCATATCAAAATAGTGGGGGGTTTTTTTCTGTTAAACTGGGTTATCTTTAAATTTAATTTCTATTTTTAAGCCTATGGGTATTTGCTCTGCAATGACCCAGCAATTTTCAAAACCAGAGATTCTGTACTCTGACGAGTTCTAACAACTTCCTGATATGCTTTATTTCAATGTCCCTGTGTATGATATTATTTTGTAATAATGTATTGACAAAGCTTACTGCCTTGCCATCCGCAGTACCTGCCCCAGTGCTCAGCATGAAGAGTTAATAGTTACAGACACTACAGGGACAAGGTCTGGGAGCAAGCCAGTCTACCACCAGGTTCCTGTGCTGTCCCATGGGGAAGCTGTGCCCACTGCTGCCCCTACTGTTGCTTCTGCTGCTGCTTTGGGGCCTCCCATCTTAGTGCCCCTGTGCACATACGGACACAATTGACAAGCCAGTTAGTCAGGGCCTGTGCTACCCACCTTGCTCACTGGCTTCAGTCAGCAACGACCATTCACTGCTGCTCGTAAGTCTGTGGGCTCGTTGGGCTCACCTGAATAGTTTTTCTCTACATGATGTGAGCTGTGGCTGCAGTCATCTCAAGTCTCAACTGGTTTGGAACATCCAGGATGGTGGCAGTTGGTGTTTGCTGAGGCTGGAATCTCATGTGAGGCTATCATTCGGAGCACTTTGGTTCTCCTCCATGTGATCTCTCCAGGCGGCTCGCACAGGCTTCCTTAAAAGTATTGCAGTTTCAGGATAATCATACGTCTTCTCCATGGTGCTGGATCCTAGAAGTTCAAAACTGGAAGCTGTCAGGCCTTTTTAAGGCTTAGGACAGGACTTAACACAAACTTACTTCTGCAGCATTACACCGTTTAACTAAATCACAAGGCCAGCTTAAATTCAACAGGAGAGGACTAAGTTAGGGACACATCAGAATGAGTTGTCCCTTAGTGGCCATCGATGTAAGAGACTACCATAGACTCCTGCTCTTCCTCTTTCCAAATGGAAACGTTCATTGTGGTTATCCTCTCTCTCTCCTTTCACTGAATGTTGGATTGGGGGGGGGGCGCAGAAAATGTGATTTTTTAGTTCACAGGTCTCTGAAACTTAAACAGAAAGTATGATGAGTTCCTGGCCACAGGCCAAAATGATAGAAATTTTGGTTGCCTCCTTTTGGGAGGTGGGTGAGGATTTTTGCATGCTAACTTAGAGGAGGTAAATATCTGTGGTCATAAAAGCGGACCGGGCAAGTTGAATTATTGTTCAAAAACATTTTCTATTCTTTCCTATCAGAACCTTCGAACATGGCTGTATTAGTTACCAGTTGCTGTACAACAAATTTCCACAAACTAGTTTCTTTGAAAAAAATTAATGTTTATTATTTTATAGATTGGGTGGATCAGGAATCCAGGAACAACTTAAACTGGGTCCTTTGCTTCAGTGTTTCTCACGGGTTGTAATGAAGTTGTCAGCCAGGGCTGGGGTCTCAATTTGAATTTTCAAGTGGACAAGGATATGCTTCCAAACTCACTCAGGCACTCAGGTTGTTGGCAGAATTCATTTTCTTATGGGCTTTTCTCTTGTTGGCTGCCAGCTAGAGCCACCCTCAGTTCCCTGTCATGGGGCACTCTCTCCACAGCACAGCTCTCAACACGAGTGGAGTGCTTCAGAAAAACCAGCAAGGGAGAATAGCTACTAGTAAGAGATTTTCATCTTTGTTACATAATAGCAGAAGTAATACCCCATCATCTTTGCTATAGTCTATGTCAGAGACAAGTCACAGGCCCATCCACATTCAAGAGAACTGCACAAGGGGTGACTATCAAGATGTGGATGTAAGTGGGGACTATCTTTGAGCCTGTCTGCTACATTAGGCCCTTCACTGAGGGACAATTAGACTTTTTGCACCATAAACTTCAGACATGAACATATGACATATTTCGGCCAATGGATGAACATGAGAGTGATATGTGCTCCTTTTAAGAAGGAGCTTTAAAAATTATCATGTGTTCTGTCACCTTTTTTCCTTCCCCCGAGACTAGCAATATCCCAGACAACTAATCAGCCTGAATCCTGGAGCTGAGCCACTCTAGGTATGTAAGAGCAGTAAGAAATAAACTCTTTGTTGAAAGTCACTGAGATTGTGGGGAGGTTTTTAACTGCAGCATAACTTAGCTGAAGCTGACTGACACATCTAATCAAAGAGACACATTCTGGGGTGAAGCATCCTGAGGCTAGCAACACTGCAGAGCTACTACTCCCTGGACCAGGAGGGATGTGGGAAACAGGAAGGGACCTAAGGAATGAAAACACTGGCCTCACTCCCCACTCTCTGACCTTGGACTGCTGCTGCCTCTTGGCAGAAAGAAGAGGGCTGAAAGTCAGAATGTAGAAAATGCTAACCTTTCTGGAACAGATAAAGGAAGGAAGAATAAGTTATGAGGGACCTGAGAGGAAATGGCCAGAGAGGAAAAAGGAAAAGAAAACAGTGGTAAGATGGAAGAGAGAGATAATGGGCAAGCAGTCACACTGAAAGATTCTTCTCAGAGTTGCACTAATTTAAGCTTAGTGTCTTTCAGATTTGAAAAATAGAATCTCACATGTGACACAGAAAGAGAGACGTGAAATTGGCACAGGACAGAGCATGGGAGGAGGATGTATTGAAATGACTAGTCAATAGAAAGTAAAGATGTATAAAGGAGTTCGAGACCACCTTTTAAAGACATTTGGTTCTAAGGAGGAGATGAGTAATAAGAAAGTAGCTAAGGGAGAGGTGGGCTCAAAGAGGGGCTCGTTTTAACAAATAATAGTTTTGAAATTTTTTAAATTAGTTCAATGAAAATGTTCTACTAGGGACTGATGATATAGGAGAGAAGTGGATCTGTATATAAAATTAGGTCTATAATAACATGGGAAGAGATGTAAGGATCACCTTTGGATAATTTTGGAGAGCAAAATATGATTGGTTTGCAATTTTGCATGTGAGAAGTCATGAAGTTGATGAATTTCATACCTGAAAACCTCTATTTTCTTCATGAAGAAACAAATGAGGCCATCTGCTGGATGAGGTAGAAATGATATCTTAGAACTTACATTGCAGAGAAAGTATGATGGGAGTAGGTTATTGTGACAGGTGGAAAGGTAGGAAGATGTGCTCAAGAAATGTGATGCCAGAATTTAACATGACTGCTTTAGAGGCATCTCACAAATTTAGATACCTTGTGTTTTCATTTCATTCAGTTCACAATAATTCATTTCCTTTTTTATTTTCTCTTTGACCAGTGTATTATTTAAAAGGATGCTACTTAGTTTCCAAGTATTTGAGGATTGTACAGATGCTTTTCTATTATTGTTTCTAACTTAATTCTGCTGTTGTCAGAGAATACACTTTACCTTTTAAATTTGTTGAGACTTGTTTTATGACCTCAGATTGTGACCTGCCTTGGTAAATGTTCTGCATCCAGAAGCGCACTCCGCAGTTTTGGGGTGGGATGTTCAATTAAGTCAAGTTGGTTGCCAGTGATGTTCAAGTCTATCTACTGTATCTTTGCTACTTGTTTATTTCCTTGTTCTAATAATTATTGAGAGGGGACTGAAAGGTCCAACTACAACTATGAAATTTGTCTATTTTTCCTTGCTGTTCCATGAGTTTTTGCTTTGTGTATTTTAAAGCTCATCTATTAGGTACATAAACTTTTAGGGTTATAGCCTCTTGATAAATTGACCCCTTCATCATTATGAAATGGTCTTCTTTATCCCTGAGTATCTTTTTTCTGAAATATATTTTGTCTGACATTAATACAGCTCCTTCATCTCTCTTTTGACTTGTGTTAGCCTAGTATATCTTTCTATCCTTTTAGTTTTAACCTATTTGTGTCTTTACATAAAAATGAGGTGTATTTTTTGTAGGCAGCATATAGTTGAGCTATGCTTTCTTAGTCAATATGACAATCTCTTCTTTCAATTGGTGTGTTTGGACTTACATGTAACATAATAATTTAAATTGTTAGATTAAATCTATCGTCTCTATTTTGTTTTCTATCTGTCCTATCTGTTCTTTTCTTTTTTCTGGCTTCTGTTGGATTAGCTGAATGTTTGTTGTGATTCCTTTTGATCCCCTTTTGGATTATTAGCTATAACTAACTCTGTTTTGTTATTTTAGTGGTTTATTTACCATTTGCACTATGCACCTTTAGCCTATCCCAATCTACCTGCAAGTAATATACCACTTGATTTATAGTGTAAGAGCCTTACAGTATGTTCATGGTCATGTTCTGCCACTATATAAACACATGGCCCCTCCAAGGGTTGGCTTGGCTTACCTTGGTCAGGTGTAATTATGGATGGTATGACACTCTTCAGACAGCCGTATGGGAGCTCTCCAAGGGTCTCCTTAGGTAAGGAATCCCAAAGCAGTATGAGGCACTAGATTAGACTTCCTCTTGATCATCTCAACAAAATATGGAGCCAATGTCTGTTTGCAAAAAAAAGAGTATCATCAATCAGGACATACCTCCAGAAGGACTATATTTCTAGATGGTTTAGTCTTAGAGCCAGAGCATACAGGGTTCATTGAAAGTGTGGCATCAACGGCCTCCCTAATATTCTTTAGATATTGATTCTCTTAGCACATTTAAAAATCCAGCTTGATTTCCATGTAGATGTGTTCTCAACAAGTTATCTCATTTCCAGGTCCCAGAAGAGGTACTTTTTGAACACCAAAACTTAAGGATTAAGATTAAATCTTTAAATTGATTAAAATAGCGATTTTTAAAGGTTTTTTTAATGGAGACTTTTTTCATTAATAAGTCTTGGCTAAACAGGAGAAACTCTGTGTGGGTATCACAAATCATGAACTAGTTCAAAAAACAGTCTGCAAGAGAGGCAGCACAACACAGTGCTTAAGAGTATGAATGGTGGAATCAGAATACCTGGGCAATCAAAAAATGGGCACAAGACTTACACAGACATTTCTCCAAAGAAGACATGCAGATGGCACACAGGCACATGAAAAGATGCTCAACATCACTAATTACTAGAGAAATGCAAATCGAAACTACAACGAGGTATCACCTCACACCAGTCAGAATGGCCATCATTAAAAAGTCTACAAATAATAAACGCTGGAGAGGGGTGGAGAAATGGGAACCCTCCTATACTTTGGTGGGAATGTAATTTGGTGCAGCCACTATGGAAAACAGTATGGAGATTCCTTAAAAAACTAAAAATGGAGTTATCATATGATCCAGCAATCCTACTCCTGGGCATATCCAGAGAAAACTCTAACTCAAAAAGATATATTTACCTGAATGTTCACAGCAGCACTATTTACAAAAGCCAAGACATAGAAGCAATCTAAGTGCCCATCGACAGATGGACAAAGAAGATGTGAGATAAATATATATATACATATACATACACACACACACACAATGGACAATTACTCAGCCATAAAAAGAATAAAACAATGCCATTTACAGCAACATGGATGGACCCAGAGATTATAATACTAACTGAAGTAAGTCAGAGAAAGATAAATACCATATAATATCACTTATATGCAGAATCTGAGAGAATTACACAAATGAACTTATTTACAAAATAGAAAAAGATTCACAGATACAGAAAACAAACTTATTGTTACAAAAGGGGAAAGAAGATAGAGGGATAAATTAGGAGTTTTGGATGAACAGACACTACATAAAACAAACAACAACAAGGTCCTATTGTATAGCACAGAGAACTATATTTAACATTTTATAATAACCTATAATGGAAAATAATCTGAAAAGAATATATAAATATAAATATATGAGTGTGAATATATTTAAGTATATAAAACTGGATCACTTATATCTAATTGAATCACTTCACTGTATACGAGAAACTAACACATTGTAAATCTACCACACTTTAATTTAAAAAAAAAGAACTGTTAAAGATAGCTACATAATAATTCATAATAACTCATCCAATCAATTTACTATTAAATAATCATCATGTTAACTATCTGGAAAAAAATCTGATCTTGAACTATGATTTCTGAAGAATGGAAACTAAGTTACTTTTTGTTTTGTTTTGCTTTGTTTTTGATATCTTGATTCCCTTTTAAGTATAAAAGAAAGGAGTTAGTTTTTTGTTTTGTTTTGTCTTGGTAATAGAAAACGTGAACCATCTTCAGAGCAGCTTCCTGGCTTTAAAATCATTGATATCAGCCATTGCATAAAGATGCTTTCTTGTTCCGTCTGGTGAAAAGATTCCAAGAGGAGGGTGTGGTGACAGTGGCATGCACGGCATGGCACTGATATGGAGAAGAGACAGGCTTGGAGGGCTGTGCTTCCTATTACCAACAAGGTTATGAAGCTCCTGGTGGTGTGAAAGAGGTACAGTCCTTTAGGAGACTGGAGATAATCCCTTTAGGAGACAGGAGAATTACTTGAGATGCTTCACAGCTCCAGATTTGCAAAACTAGCTGTTGGACAGTAACTAAATGATTTCCTAGAGAGTTCTGTGAACTTTCAGTCTCCTCACCAAGTCAGAAATACAGTTATTTCCCTATGGGAGGAATGTATCAAAACCTCTGTAATCCAGTTAGAGCACATGCCATTAGAATGTGGAATCTTCAGTATTAGGATGCACCACAGGAAGTCTTCATTAAGACTGAACGGGTTCCTCTGGGGCTACTGCAGGTAAGGACTCAAACATCCAGACTATTACTGGCATGAGAGGAAGGTGAAATTCCTAGATACAACTGCATGGAAAGAAATAATGTTAACCTGGCTATGCCTGGTATGTAAGCATTATGAGCTGGCAATGAGAAAACAAAAAAGACACCCAGAATTAAGAATCAGCGTGGACAACTATGTCAAGGATTCATCCGTAAAGATGATTTTAAAAGAGAGAATTTTGCGGGTAGAAACGAGACGTTGAGCTTTCACAGATCATCTAATATATGACTATACTTCCTTGAATACTTACCAGGTTTCCATTTTCCCCTTATTGATGTAATTACTTCTACCTTGGTTGAATTTTTACAGCCATTGAAATGGAAAAGTATTAAAGCTAAGGTATCAACGTAAGAACAAATTTTGTTCATCTGCTTTGTTTTTATTCATTTATTGTTATAGTAATACTGGTGTTGAAAATTTTAAATTTGTTTAGGCATACTGTAAGATAAAATAATTAATTAATTCTGTTAATATAGTTAGGAACGATTATTTTCAGTGTAAGATGAAAGAAACACTAGTATAGTATCAAGGATTTTATGAAAAATATGAACAGATCAGCACAAACTCATAATTTAAAACAGTATGTTCTGATCCCTTGCCAAGTCCACCGAAGGTCATCTAGACTCAGTGACATCCAATTGGTCATGAGCACCTGAATGAAGCAGGCAGATTTGGATTTTCCAATCCCATTCTCCACTATGAGAAATCAGTGCTCTTTGGAGCAACAGCTGACTCCAGGTCTGGTCGAGGAAATATGCAAGACGAATCTAGGGGGTTGTAACTAGGGCATTTTCCTGACAGTGTATTTTGGAGTTATCATGATGATGAACTCTATTCATTTTTAATTTTATGTTTTGTGAGTTTTTTGTCGTTTGAAAAATCTTTGCATAATGAAAGTCAGTTATTTTGTTTTCTTCTTTATAAATTCTATGTTTACATTTATGCTCATGACCTATTTCATGCTGATTTTTATTTATGGTATGAGTATGAGCTAAGAATCAAGGGGTTTTGTCTGTTTTTGCACATGGATTTCCAAATGTTCCAGCATTGTCTGTTGAAAGACTACCTTTTGTTTGTTGTTACCGTCACAACTTTGTTAAAGATTTGTTACCCACACGTGTGGTTTGATTTCTAGACTACACTGTTCCACTGACAGTCTATTCTTACGCCAATGCCATATCCTTGATTACTCTAGCTTTATAACAAGCCTTGAAATCAGGTGATGTGAGTCTTCTTGTTCTTTCTTTTCAAAGGTGTTCTGTTTATTTTAGGTCTCTTGCATTCCCCTATAAATATTTGAATCAGCTTGTCAAATCTACACAAATGTCTCCTGAGATATTTTTTGTGGGTGATTGTATTGAATATATAGATGAATTTGAGGAAAACTGGTATCTTAATCAATACGGAAAATTTCTATCTGTAAACACAGTACACCTCCTCATTTATTTAGATGTTTTGTGAAACCCACTTATTAGGTCTAGTAATTTTCGTTTGTGGTTTTTGAAACCTCCTGTGTAGAAGACTACGCTGTCTGCAAATAAAGACAATTTTATTTCTTCTTTTCCTGACTATGCTCCACCAGCACTATCACCACTTTTGTTGTTTTTCCTGTTGCACTGGCTAAGATCACCAGTGAAATATTCACTAGGAAGAGCAGAGCAGACATCTTAAACATTTTCCCAATCCTGGGGCAAGCATTTAGTCTTTCACCATTAAATATGACACTGTAGATTTTCCATAGATGTCCTTTAACAATTTGAGGAAGCTGCCCTTTACTGCAAGTTGCTGAGTTTTTGTTCTAAATGGATGTGGAATTTCTGTCAAAAAAAACTTCCTGCATCTATAGAAATGATCATATGGTCATTCTTTTTAGGTTACTGATATGATGAATTACACCAATTATTTTTTTGTATGTTGAACCAAACTTGCATTATTGAATTAAACTCTACTTGGCCATGATGTACTTTCTTTTCAAAATATTTCCAGATTGGATTTGCAAATATTCTGTTGATGGTCGTGCCTATGTTCAGAAGAAACACTGGTCACTATTTTTTTTTTCTTATGTCTCTCTATGGCTTTAGCATCAGGATAATGCTAGCCTCATAAAGTATGTCAGGGATCCTTCTTCCTCTTCTCTTTTCTGAAACAGATATTGTAGAATTGTCATTTTTTTCTTATTTGGTTATATTCAAATCTTTTCAAAACCTTTTAAGTATCTGTTGATTCTGAAGTGAGGCTGTTCCCTTCCACTGCTTATAACGGATATTTATGTCTTCTTATCTGTATTGCCATGGGATTACCAATGGCACTGTCAACCAAAATTTCAGAAATGATGACTTGATTGAAATAAAAAGATGTCTATTTTGAGTTTCTGGGACTTCAGCCCAGGAGATGCAGATTCAAGAAGCACTTGAATTGTGTTGTGCTAGGTTACAAAGTGAGGGAGGCTTATAAAGGTAAAAAGCCACAAAGTGACAGTTATTTCCATGAGTTGTTTCTCAAGAATTGTAACTGAAGCTGGCAAGAAGGTGCTTGTTAAGTGAGAACTGATTGGAATCTGAAATGGGTGCACAGTTACAAGAGGAGACGTTGACACCATAAGGTTGCTGGCAGGTGTTGTTCTAAATACAGCTGGTGGTGTCCTGGGGTCAGGTACAATTCAAAGAAAGTTCAGGTTCTCAGTGGTGCAGATCCTCAGTAGCCGCCTGATACCATTTTTGTACACCTGAAGTGTGATTACTCCATTATAGTTTCAATTTGTCATCAGCATTAATCTTTTCAATCAACAGTGTTTTTGTTTTGTTGTTTCTATTTTATGGCTTTTCCCTCTATTTTTACCTTATTTTTATCACTTCCTTTTTCTTGTTGTTTAATTCACAGTATTTTTTATTTAACCTATTGAGACAGATGCTTATTTTCAGGCTTTCTTCCTACGTGATCTCTACTTATTGCCATCTATTAGGTGGAAATGATTCTGTGAATGGTAAGCAGTAAATTTGTTTTCATTTTTCATTTTACCAACATGGATGTTTAACTGAGCCAGCAAGTTACTACTTTTCTCCTATTGCTCTACTGTGCCATTTTTGTCATAGTTTAGGGGTCTATAGGTAATTTTCTATTTCTGGATTGTCTTTTACCGTTGTCTGGATGGTCTAGTTGACTTCCCATGTGCAATACCACATT